TACTTGTTATTCATGTACTTTGCTATTTATTTTTAGATAAATTGCTCATTTCTCTGTCACAAAAAAAACCCCAGTTTTTATACCTGTGAACACTAGGAAGCTAAATAAGTCACAATACAGGAATGAAACAGATTCATTTGTCACAGACAGCCTCAGAATTGTCTGTTATTTGACTACAAGATGTTTGTAATTGTGATAAGATGTACACGTAGCAATAAATAAGAGGAAGCAAAGAGTGACAAAAAGAACCAAGGAAATATTCACATAGAACTTTCCTGTTACCAAGGAAGAGTAAAGACAAAAAGACTCTAATAAATCTAACGGTAACCGCGAGATGCAGATTAATTTACCTGTAAGACTCTGAAATTGTAACATGAGTTTTCTCAGGAGCAACGGAAAGAAACAACTTTTGGATTTCAAATTAAGCACATTTGTAATCAACTGTGAAAGAAATATGAGAGCATGGCAATAGCATTTTCAGAGTTTAATGACTTACACTTTCATTTGTCTGCCTTCTATAATACACCCAGCAGAGGGCTCCAGGACCCAAGTCTTGCTCCTTGTCCTGAAAAGCAGCAATCCTGCGACGTTCCTGCAAAATTCGAATTGGAGAGCTGGAATCTCCTTTGGTTAGAGCAGAAAATCCGGGAGCGGTGTGCGCTTTCAAAGGGGCGTACAGAAGTTATTTAAATTTCTGTAAGGCTCCGAGAATGAACACTCATTGCTGTTTAAAAAAAAAAAAAAAAAAAAAGGACTTTGTTCTCAAAATACATTTATTTCTAAATTGCAAAAATGGGTCTCCGTAGCGGACTGAAGATAAATCACAATTAAAATGAAGTTTTGTTTAGTAAGAATAAAAGCAGTGGACAAAAATTAAAGCTATGCACTGATATTCTAGGCTTAACAACAGGGAAGAGAAAATATTTTGAACAGTCTCAAGGACACATATGAACATGTGATAGGATTAACTAAAAAAAATGAGAAATAAAGCCAGAATATCAAGAAACACATCCCAGTAATGAGCTCCTTTCTTCAGATTAAGCCCCATCACTGGAGCCTTTCAAAGCTAGAGCAGACAAAAACTGCAGAATACCCATTGTAGGGAACATGCCTGCATTAAGCAGGGGGCAAAACCAGGTGGAAAGGATACTTTTTGTTCTCTAATCTCAATTCAAACATAAAAGAGAAGCGTGTGTAACAGTTAAAATTACTCACATACAAATATCATCCACCCACATATTAAAATGCCACAGAACAAACTTATTTCAAGCACGTTATACAACAAGGAGTTAATAACAAGCTGGAGAAGGAACAATTTTCCCCTGGCTTGATTCAACACACGTGCATTATTCATCACGTTTATGAAAGAATATGAATCCCACCAAATAATTAGCTGGTGCGTTAACCTCCCTGGTTTGCAGCAGCAGCCTGTGACTGACGAGTAGAAGGTCTCTCCAAGAACAATTTCCTGCAATGTCGCTCCCTTTCACCTGGACCCTCGGTGAAGGGTGTGTTTTGTGTGTTTGTATAGGGAATCCCTGTGGAGTTTTTGTTGAGCTTTAGGTCAAAACCCTCTGAATTTAACTTTAAATTGGGGAGCTATTAGATGCCATATTTGTTCCGGTATCTATTACCAGTACTACAATACTGGTCACCTTCCATCAGTGTAAATGAAAAAAAAAAGGAACCTCCCTCTTTAATCATTTTGGATTAGAGTAAGGTGGGAAGGTGAAATATCAAATTGCAGCAAAGTATGCTAACAGAGAGAAGTCTAAGTAGTTATAGGAGAATTTTAGTGGCATTTTAACTTAGATTTTCTCAGACCTCTGCTTCGAAGCCCAGTGTGATTTGGTCCTCCCTTCATTACCCCCAGGATAGACTGCCCTGATCATCAGCCAGATTGATGCTCAACTTCAAAGTATTTGTAGTAGAAAAGAAAACAAACAGAGGTCCTGTCTGTTGTTGTTCTGAAACCCATGATTTACAAATCATAGGATTTGTAGGGATTTACAAAGTCTGAACTGATGGCATCTGAGAACTCTCAAAATTTCCAAGCAAGTTAAGGAAACTACAAAGCAGACTGAGGCAAAACAAATAAATCCTTAAATTCTGCTGACAAATAGGGTGCCATGAACCACCTGTGGAAAAAGCTGGTAGAACCTCATATGACCTCATAACATAAATTAGTTTAGGAAGTTCTGTTATAGTTCTGTCAAGAATTGAAGAGGGAAGTTAGGTCAGACAAGGTAACTGCAATTGTTTCTTTTAGCTTTAAAGATTGTTCATTTCTAGGGGCTTTACATGTGCCGCTTCATTTTCTTCAAAAATTCTCCTTCCGCTTCACTGTGATGTAATCCAGCTTTTACTGCGTACCTGCCCCAGAAGCAGCTGCATTTTCAGCATGTCCTTTATATAGTGGGATCACACAAGTTGAAACCCATCCTAGAAATCGGAGACTTGTTGGGGGATTTTCAAACTATTTCCCAAACTAAGATAAAACCACAGATTGGAGGACAGATAATGCAGCATAGTTGACTAGCTTCAGTTAATATATGGATAAGTGCAGCAAAAACCAGTCAAAAGCAGAAGAATTCAAAGAGTGAATACTCCTACAATGACGTATATTCATACAATGTCAAGGGAGGAATGTATATACATTTAAACGGAAATAAACAATGGAAACAGACTCTGCTCTTAGTGACACTGGAGTGAGTGTGGAGTGATGTTCCTTACCCAGCTGGCATTACTCTGGATTTTTCCCGGTACCACCAAAGGCAGAATCAGGCTCATTTGTTTGGTATTTAGCAACACATTACTGTGGAACATGAGTCGGAGAACAACTATGCCTTGCTGCTTTAGGATTTTTATGAAGGAGAAGCACGTGGCATCACGGAATTACTTCTCCAAAGCTGCTCCAGGAAGCACCTACTGTCATTGTCAGAATCAAGTAAATCGACAAGCAGCTCAGCTGACTGGGGAAGGGGGACTGCAGCCAGCAAGCAGGGCAAAAGCTGCAGTCCTGTCCCACAGAGCGGCTCTGCTGCGACTTCTCTAAGAGCCTGAGGCCGCCCTAACATACAGCAGTCCTCCAAATCGCCAGAATGAAAGAATAAGCAGCGGCTAGTCAAGCACGGGGCGGAGCGGGAAGGCTTTTTAGCAGAAGAGGAAACAGAACCAGGAGACTCTGCATGTAGCTCCCAACTTTTGCAAAGGCAGCAGCTTGGGGAATGTCCCTCAAATGGCATTTCCACCTGACGAGAGCTTTGGCTAGGGAGAAGCACCCCAAGCAGCTGGGCAGCCTTGCCCAAGCACTTGAAAACGTGCTATTTTCATCAGGGAACACATCTCTTGCGCTTGGCAGGGAGGAGAATTTAACTTAGTCTTTACCAGGGTGACTCCGCAAAGCGCCGCCATGTTCCCAGGCCCCGCAAAGACACTTCTGTACCACCAAGGCCCGGGCACTCTCACGGCTGCCACCCTGTGCCATGTTTTCTTTCCTCTCTGCCTTCGCCCCAGGTGCCGCCCCGTACCCTGCTCGCCCCAGGGCCCCAGCCCGGACACTGGCAGGGGCTACCCAGGGCACACCGACGC